ACTTAGGTATTTCTATTGCAGCAGCACTAAGAAATCCAAATCCGGATTTGAAAAGTTAAAGCCTTCCACAGAATGCACTACCGAAAGGCCCAGTATTTGTTACCTGATCAGCAAACTGGGCCATGTAACGCTGCAGTCGACTTTGGTTGTTGGTTTGCTCACACATTTGCACCAAGATATCAAAGTCACAGTACTTCTCTGCTAAAGACGCCGCCCACTGGTGCTGGCCTAACGCAACTATGAAAATGAGAACAGACGTGAAAAAAATACCGTTAGCCACAACTAAACTCTGCAAGGCAAAAAATGTAAAGCTGCACCTTTATTCATATTATACATTAAAAGTAAACAAGGGAATCAAATTCTTTTAATTTACTCGTAGTTTCATAATTCACATGAGCTCATTCAAGATAAATATTCAGATCCTTATTTTATCACTATCTATCAAAGTGCTACCTAGTTCCTTCATGTATTAGTAAAATGACTTACTTTGCCCAATCTTCTCCTTAAACATAATTGGTCCTTTATGGCACAACCATGTATTTTACTTGTGCCTCTCTAATGGCACGTGTCATACTCCAATTTGTAGTCGAGTTATTCACATAAGGTCTGGTTTGGGGCAGTGTCCACATGTTAATTTATTAACCTTTAAATCACCTTCAGTATTTTCTATGATGGTCTACCTAAAACAAGGTCCCTGGTACATGGGCCCAAACAAAGGCTGAGTACATGCACACACATGGACTCTCTCAAAGCCACTGAGTCGATGCTGACTCATGGTGACCTGATAGGACGAGTAGAACCTGCCCCTGTGAGTTTCCGAGACTGTAACTCTTTATGGGAGTAGAGAGCCCTGCCTTTCTCCCTCAGAGTGGCTGCTGGTTTTGAACTGCTGGCTTTATGGTTAGCAGCCCAACACATAACCACTACGCCACCAGAGCTTCCTAAACAAACATAAAAGGTTGTATATATTTACTTTGCCTTAAGTCCTTGGTAACAATTTGACTTCTTAATCCACCTGTAAATTCAAAGACCTACTCGTTCTTGTTACAGTCGATCCCACTGTTGGCAACCCTGTGTGCATCAGAGTACAATTGTACCACACTGGGCTTTGGGTAGTAAATCACCAGACCATTCTTCCCAGTGCCTCTGGGTGAACTTCCTTTTCTTCAATCTTTCAGTCAGCAGTCATGTGCATTAGCTGTTTGCACCATCCTGGAATTCCCCAAAGACTTGTCAAAAACAAAAAACCAACCCAGCTTCTGTCTAGTTGATTCCAACCCTCAGCTAGACCTAAGTAAATACCATGCACTTACGAAAAGGAGATATGAGATCTGATCTCTTCTGCAGATATTCCATTTCCAGGTTGTTGTATCTTTCGTGATCTTTGGATTTGTCTACAGACTTAAGCTGAGAAACATAACCATCTAAGAAGCAATCAATTAGTGCCACCAGCTGCTCTGTGAGAATGTTCCGGAAATTGCTGTCTGCCTGAGGATAGACCATCTTCAGAACAATCCCATGTTGGCGTACTATTGCCGTTCGAATACCAGTGGGCCCACTTGTTGCTGTAAAATCACACAAAGGAAATTAATGGTCTAAAATGGCTTGAGGAAAGAGTACCTAAAAATTATGCCACTTCAGCACTGCTTGAAAAATAAGTCAAACAGATGTTAAATTGATTTATGTCCTGCTCACACCTGATTTTCCCTATGAAGATGTTAATTCCCAGGTATTCTCAATCTTTCTTCCTTCTAATTTTCTTTCATATTACTCTATATCCATTTCCATGTATTGAATCAACATAAAAGATAGTCACTTTCTTCGGGGTGAGAATCTACTTCTATGCATTATTGTTAGTAACCAAACCTAATAGTGCATGATGAGTACACATCAAATAAATATAGACATTTATACAGGATTCCAAGGGAATAAAGTAATGTTGACAGGAGTTCGTGTTTTGGAGATGGCACGTTCTTTTTCGTTTAAAAAAAATCATTTTATTAGGGGCTCATACAACTCTTATCACAATCCATCCATACATCAATTGTGTAAAGCACACTTGTACATTCATTGCCCTCATCATTTTCAAAACATTTGCTCTCTACTTAAGCCTCTGGCATCAGCTCATTTTTTCCCCTCCCTCCCCGCTCCCCCCTTCACATGTTATTTTTCATCTCATTCTGAAACATTCAATAAAGGAGTATTACAAGTATCTAAAAATGACAAATTACTAGAAATACACTTGATGCAATTGTGAATATATCAGTATCGATGAGTTCGATGCTTGCCACCTCACCTGTCCATGGAACGTGCTCGGGCTCTTTTTCTAGAGGTTCTTCTACTCTTTTATACAAGGAGCTTCTACTTTGACGATAATGACCAGCAGCCTGCAGCATATCCTTGGAGGGGGAAAATTGTTGAACTGTTATCACACTTAGGAAGGGATGGACCATAGTATTTCTGAAGATAATTTGAAATACTGAAGTCTGTTAATATGAAAAAATATTCAGCGAGGTCTGCAAGATTCCTTTCAAGTTCTTTCTGTACTTAAAATCTGTTTTACTAATAACTTCATTTCAATGAGTTGTGGAACCCTGATGGGTTCCAAAAGTGCGATAGTGAAGCACTTGACCACGAACGGAAATGCGGATGGCTTGACCCAGCCCGCACCTCTGCGGGGAAACACCTGGTGAGTTGCTTCCTTAAAGACTGCAGGCAAGAAAGCCCCTTGTCACTCTAGCCTCCGGAGTCCGAACCAACGAGTGGTTCCCAACAACACCACTCATTCACCAAACCACGAGTATGCACAGCAGCCTTTTAAATCATTAAAATGTAGAGAATATTTAGGCACTTATGGTAATATTAATATTCCTCTCCAAATAAAAGGTTTATTTTACCAAATGGAAACTTAGGATTACAGTTATTTACATACATAAGGCAAACCCTGAAAACATTTATTAAGTGCTTAATGAAATGTCTGATGTATTTCTAACTTTTTGGAGTGAACGAATGGTAAAACCTTATTCTTTATTGGGGTATAGAATAGGACTGTTTTTTCCTCTGTCTTTTATACACACTCCAGGCTTTGCCTTTCTGAAATCACACTATATGTTTGTACCTTCAGGATATTGTTCACATTGATCACCACCTCAGCCCATTCAACAGATTCCAATGACGTCTCCTTCAAGACTTGTTCCTCGTGCTCCAACAAACATTCACAAATGGTATCTACTTGGGACACCTGAAGGAGTACAGAGATCACTCACTTAATACAAACGTTGTGTGATGGGTAATTGCCACCACCTACAACTGAACTCACTGGATCTCGGTGTTACCACATAGACTCGTGGATAAGCCGAATTTTTCAGCACATTTTTAATGCAGTTTTTGTGGTAAAATTAGGTGCCTCGGATCATATTCGAGTATCTACGGTATATCATAGCTTCGGCAGATTATATAGATGAAAATGTACTAATTTATGGAGAAAGCATATTAAAAACCAAGAAAAGTTAGAACCTTCTATATGAATGTCTACACAACTCTCATAAATAGGCAAAAAAAATTCTGGATAGTTACCAAGTAGTTTCTTTGTTTTTGTTTTTAATTTAAATACCAAGTAACGGAAATATTTGTTATTATAGCTAGGAATGCTCACTACAACCTTTAAATTGTACTAGGTTACAAATGACTGTTTTACAATATGATACAATGTAAGGTGAATAATGGTTCTAAACTAATGAATTGGCTGATTTCTATCTTCATGATTACCCTATTTTTAGCCACAATAGAAATGTTTTAGGATATTAAGAAAACAGCAAATTTACCTTCTGACTGTTTCCACCTAGCCCATGGTGCAAAACTTTGCTTAAGCATTCAAACTGCTCTTTCCTGTTTCAGTCTACAGAGACAGCTTACTTTGCCTAATCTCAGTCTTAGAAATATTCTGTCTTTCAGGGAAGAGCCATAATATTTTGTCTGTACCTCTCAAACGCCTGTATCACTCTCTACAGTCTAGTTACATTTAAGGTCTAGTTTGCTTTTTGGGATAAGCTTTCTGAAAACAGTCTCCCCACATTAATGTATTAACTTTTAAGTCACAAATATTCAAGTAAATATATATTCTATTAAGTGAATAGATATTTACTACTTAAGGTTTGCACAGCATTGAGAACTCAAAAATAAAATGAAATAAATCTAAATCTGTCTTTGAGGGATTTACAAACTAGCAATGCAACAAGACCCACTGCCTTGTCTACATAAATCACACACACACGTTGCACAGTTCTGTGCAAACCACATCCCCTGCACATTAGTATCCTGTATGTGTTACATAGGAAAACTAAGGTAGACACTTACAACCCACACTAAATCACTCTTCTGTTAAACCTGTTCTTCCTTTTGGGTGTCTAGTGTTAGCCTACAGCATCCCATCAGCACAAGCACAAAAATCTTCCTTTTCCCTTCACATAGCCACATCTAATCTGTAAAATTAAATGCAAAAGCATTTTATACTGCTAAAACAAAAGGTATTAAAAGTATGTCCAATAAAAGGAATAATATAAAAGCAAATGAAATTCCAAGACCGCATGCAAAATACCCTTATCATGTAAATTATATACTTAGTACTTTTATTTTAAATATTACTTATATGAGTATGCTATGCTAACATAATCAGTTCTGTAAGTGGTTATCTCTGCTTTATAGGAGCCTATAAAATACTGGTCTATTCCCCACAGACTGGAGAGTACCAGAGCTGCCACATCAAACATCTCTTCCCTATATAGCCTACCAATCAGGGATTGATTTGGATTAACCAACTTTGTTATCTCCAAGGATAGGTAGAACCAAAGATTATTTAAATATGCATGTATACCTAAAGATGTGCGCGCGCGCATACACACACACGTACGTCAATTCATGCCTTCCTTCTTCCTCCTTCTCTTTCCTAAGTTATGACGGTTATACCACATGGGAACACCTCTGGAATCACACTCAGAGAAGTACAAGACTAGTAAATGTCACCATGCTTTAGATAAACGTTGGTGCGGAAGGTTTCTTTCTGTCACTCAGATTCCTGGCATATTTCTTGTAACATTGCTGGCCAAGAAGCAAAACAAAACCCAAAGAGATTTTCCTTACTCTCTAAAAAGAAAACAACAAAAACATTAACTGAAATGTATGAAAACAAGGGATTCTTCAAACTAAATACACTTATGGACTAAAAATGAACCCGAACCTCACTGGAGGTCTTATCTTTAGGTTCGAGTCCATCACACATTCCAAGAGAAACCTACTGGTTTGGTTATGTTAGCTGCTAGCCTACACCTAGACTATAGGAGGAAGGAATCAACCTTTCAGGCAACAAACAGAGGTTCCCCAAATGTGAAACCACACCCACAAACTTTACAGCGCTGGAGCGGAGCCAGCATTACTTTCAAGCAATGCTCATAAGGGGAAAGAGACTGGCTCAGTTAAGGACCACGGACTCAGCAAACAACCTAACTGGCTGAATGAGAACCAAGATCTGTTGTCTCAATTAAGACCCCTAATTCTCTGAATTTTACTGACAGTAAAATTCGCCCTGCGTGTCCCCCAGGGCTGCGAAGCATTATGTAAACATAAGGAACTCTCTTACTGTTCCCACAATGTCTAGTTACCACCAGCTGTCAGCACCTGCATCTTTTCTCCCTCCAAGGTTCCGAGTAGACTTTGATTTTAAAAGTAAGTTGTATTGGCAGGATTCTAGTATGAAGCCCTGGAACACTTGGGAGATATCTGAGAATTCAATAAAGGGACTACATACAAAAGGGCAGCCAGGGCCAGCACCAGGAAGCGTGTTACTCTAAAGGCCTGATGTGGTCAACAGAGGCAGCAGTTACTGGAAACCCAAAGAAAACAGGCAGACAGAAGTTGTGGCAACCCAACAGCAAGGACGCTGACGGAGCAGATGCTCTGGCCTCTGGGTCTTCTGATAGTGCTCAGTCAGGAGTGGACTTGGAAACGCAAAAGGAAAACACTCAGCACACGATGGAAATTGGATGATTTCTCTGTCAACTTCACAAGTTCTAATGACAGAGACAGTGATAAGTGTGAGTGGTACTTTTTTTTTTGAGTGAGAATTTATGCAGGGAATATGAATTCCAATTTAAAATATCAGAAAGATACTTGATCATTTAATTTGCTGTCAATCTTCCCCCTGCTTAAGCATGACTTGGAAATGGCACAGCTCTGTAAAGCTCCAGGAAGGGCACGAGAGGACCCGGCTTACCTCTCTGAAAAAGACATCTGCGGGCGTGAGATTGGCAGGGATCTCACACTCCCGTCTGTTTAAAGCGGTGAGTATAGCCGTGTTCACCAGATCAGAAACCCTGGCGTGGTGGTTCTTGAGAACAATGGCAGCTGACAGCTTTTCTGCATGCTCACACAGCAGGAGTCGAGTGGCCATGGGCATTCCTCTGACGGCAAAGGTGCCTAGCCTTCGGAATAAGCCAACCTTGTATGTAGAGAGAGAGAGACATCTTCTTAGAAAGCAGTAACAGTTATGTACAAAACAACAGTCTATTTTCACCAGAAGTACACTGGATACAAAGTCTCTGGCCCTAACTCTCCCAGAGGGCGTTTCTAGCTGTGTCTTTGGCTGCAACTGTTTCTTAACAACATACATAAAAATCAGCCAGGACTGTCCATATCTAATAAGAAAGCCTTAAAGTTCCTGTCTGAGATCATGGTCATGCCAATGTTCTGGTCACTACTGTTGCTTCTACCTAGTGTATGGTTACCAGAATGATCAAATTGCTCTCTTCTATCTAAACCACGTTAACAACCCTAAATCCCAGACCTTCTAGAATGAGAGACAAGGCAGCTGTCAATTTTAATGACAGGACTCCCAGCTCCACCTGCCCTCAAGCTGATGCATTTATATAATGTCTAATGCAGTACCCACCTTCAAGAGGGTAGCTACCATTACATTTATATTCTTACATTTATTAATATACATTTGAATGGCCATAGTGACCACTTTATTGTAAATTAATTTAGTTTTTTGTTGTTGTTTGAATTCATTTTTGTATTTTTGCCATTATTATAGGTATAAAATGATATTTCATTTTGGTGTTAAAATTTTTTTTCTTTTTAAATCATTTTATTGAGGGCTCGTACAATCTATGGGGGGGTTAGGGGTTATAAGGGTGGGAGGAGGGGTTGAAAAAAAAAGAGCTGGTACTAAGGGTTCAATAGAAAGTAAGTGTCTAGAAAGAATGAGGACAACATATGTACAAACATGCCTGATACAATGGATGTATGGATTGTGATAGATTTGTACGTGTTCCGGTCTAGTCTGAACTGGGAAGCAGCACTGGGGTCATGGTAGTGGGGGGTGAGGAAACCTCAAGGAACCAGAGGAATAAAGTGTCTTTCATCGATGCTTTACTGCACCATGGTGACACATCCCCTCCCTGTGGGCCCTCTGTGGGGAGACTGTTCCACTATCTACAGATGGGCTTTGGATCTCTGCTCCAGCCCCGCTCCTTCTCAACGACATGTTTTTGTTTGTTAGGTGTCTGCTGATGCCTACTACCTGGTCCCCATGACTCCTCATGAACGCACTGGCAGTGTGCTTCTTCCACGTGGACTTGCTTCACTGCTGAATGGCGGCTTGGGTAACTTCAAGCCTTTAAGACCCAGACGCTATATCTTTTCATAACCGGGCACCATCCGCCCTCTTCAGCACATTTGCTTACTCACCTGCTGTTTTGTCTTCAGTGACTGTGTGAGGAGGGTGAACATCTCAGACTGCTAATTGGTAAGAACAAAGCGTTCTTGTATTGAGGGAGGGTATGAGCAGAGGCCCTAAGTCCAGCCCCTACCTCAGAATTAAAATTGTGTTTTAAAAAATTAGCTCAAGTGTTCACTAACCATATTCAGTTTCGTGGCTACTACAATGAGAAAAACAAACATGATACATTTCCATCATCACACAAAAAGTTCCATTGGACAACCAACTAGAGTCTCAAGATGGATGATTCTTGATTTAAAAAAGGAAAAAAAAGAAATGCAAAATCAAGAGTAAATTAATTTGGGTCTGAACTTAAGAATCACTATTGATTGGTAAAGCAAGAATGCATGCTTTTATTTAACAATTCTGTCCAACAAAGTTTCCTAATTTAGACTCATTATAAAGTATATACATAGAATATTTAAATGATGATTTAATTGTACTGCAAAATTTTAAATCCCTATATATAAACCTTTCTTCACCTTATGACTCTTCACTATTTTTTAATAACACAGAGTCTAGGGTTAGGGTTAAAAAATAAAATAAAATAACACAAAGTCAACTTATGAAAAATCTGTGTTTTTATATACAAGCACACAGAAAATATTAATAAAAATTATGCTTTTAAAAGGCTTGGTCTCATGGACAACAATATCAACAAATACACCACAAAATAATATAGCGGAAAAATTTGAAACAACATTTCTGATGAAATACAATAATTTTCCACAAACCACTTCAGAGTAAGACGGGAGGGATTTCCTCTTGTACTGGGAGAAGGTGCAACCCCATGTCCTGCCTTCTCTGTGCTCAACAACCAGGCGCCTTACCTGGTGAATAAAGTCCATGAGGATAGAATGGGCTTTCATCTTGTCTTCTAGCTGGTACAGAATAATTAGTGATGTATTGCTGAAGCCAGGTGCCCCTAGTAAAACACAATTACAAAGCTTAAATATGTAGTACAATGGCCTTATGACAATGATTGCTATTTTAAAAATTAAAGAAAACCTAAACAAATGTTAATTTTTAAACATTTACCCCAAAGTTAAAATGGTACATATGCATATTCCGAGTCCAGGAGCTCATAGGGAAACTGATTAATGGCTCTTTGAGGCAATGGCAGGGGAGTTTGGGGGAAACAGGGAACGAATAACAACGAGACCAAGAAGAAAACATTCTGAAACTGATTGCAGTAATGACTGAACATCTCTTCTTCATAGGACTGAGCTCTTGAGTTGTTCGATACGTGGATTTATATGCCAATAAAACTGTTTTAAAAGAAAAGACATTCAGTTCTGGTATGTATGTCGGTAAATAAAAAAATATTTAGCAACAAAGAATTTAAAGCAAAAAAGAATTCAGTCATGAAACAATTCATCAGTTATAAGTTGGAGAAATAACAAGAAACCATCAAAGAAAGGTAAACACTGGTGTTTTCATCATAAATCTCTAATGGGAAGAGAAAAATATCTATGGGAGACAGTTTACCACCATTACTTGGGGCCCTAGAGGGTCCTTGATGCTTCAGAGGCAGTGACGAGGGGAGCCCTGTGGGGTAGGCAGGAGGACACGACACACCCGAGAATGCTCAAGGCCACTCTTGGGTAAACGTCGTTTCTACATTTTGACACTCAGGGATGAGGCCAAAATCGCCCAAGGTGTCAAATGATTATACCATCGATCTGCTTTTAGAAAGAAATGCCTGGGAATCCAGGACGGATGAGCCCTCTAGGACCAGTGGTGTGAGGGGCAAAACAGGGAGGGTAAAGGGAGAATGGGTAGGAAAGAGAGAACCGATTACATGGAACTCTGTGTGACCTCCTCCCTGGGGGACAGACAACTGAAAAGTGGATGAAGGGAGACGTCGGACAGGGCAAGATATGACAAAATACCCATTTATAAACTATCAAGGGCTCATGCGGGAGGGGGGAGCGGGGAGGGAGGGGAAAAATGAGGACCTAATGTCGGGGGTTTAAATGGAGAGAAAATGTTTTGAGAAACGATGTACAAATGCGCTTTACACAATTGATGTGTGTATGGATTGGGATAACAGTTGTATGAGCCCCTAATAAAATGTTAAAACAAAACAAAAAAAACAAAAAATGCCATGAAAGCTAAGCAATGTTAATTAGTCTACCTCAGAACCATTTGGATTAGCTATAGTGTTTCTTCAGCTTTTATTTTACTATCTACATCCACACCAGACCTTTAAAAAAATTATACTTACTATCTATAATCTTTTTTAAAATATCAAATTAGTATTAAATTGTTTGAGACATTTTTAAAATGCCTTAAGAGATACAGTACTTCTATTAAAAATCAGAACCTACTTCTCAAACGTTCTTATCAAAATTGTCTTACCCTCAGGGACAGATTCAGCCCACCGCGGATCAGAAGCCGGGTAGTCATCCACCAGGTCCATACTGATCTGAGTGACAGCTCTGTCTAGTTCCGCATTGGAATTCAAATCCGGGTGAGAGGAAAACAGCTCATCAACCATCACTTGAGCATGACCTAAATCTTTCCTGAAATGAAGGTGCCACACAAAAGTAGGAAAGGAGGCAAAAGAGAAAACAACTGTGAAGTTAAATTCCCATTTATAGGTTGTAGCCTAAAGTTACTACTTTTTAATAAAATTTACTAAAGAGAAACTATTATGTATTAAGTCAACATATATATTATAATACTTAAAATATGCCGTTCTAGGGATGTAATAGAATGACAAACTGCCATGAAGGAGTCAGATAGGTAAACAAACAACTCTACATGCAGGGCACACAGAGAGAAGATAGAGACAGCTACAGAGTCCATGGGCAGGAAATTAAACAAGTCAATGAGGCCAGGAAAACTTTCTGAAGGATGTGAATGTTAAGCTGAGGCCTTACAATTAGTCGGTCACCTTCTTCTCATTATTAAGAGTGAGGTGGAGTAGTTGCAATGCAAAAAAGTTAGTAGGTAGTAAATCTAAACCAAAACCAACTCACTGGTATCAAGTCGATGCCGTCTCATATCAATCCTATAAGACAGGGTAGAACTGCCCCTGTGAGTTTTCGATACTGTAACTATTTGCAAGGGTAGAAAGTCCATCTTTCTCCTGCAGTGTGGCTGGTGGTTTCAAACTGCTAACTTTGTGGTTAGCAGGCCAAATGTGCAACCACTACACCACCCGGGCTCCTTAGAGTAGTAAGTCTAGAGAGTGCTTCTCTGATGGTTATCTCTGTTATTCAGGAGACTCAATCTTCTTGGTAAATCAAAACCATACTCACTGCCATCGAGTCGATGCTGACTCACAGCCACCTTAAAGGGCAGGGTAGAACTCCCCTGTGGGTCTCTGAGAGTATAAGTCTTTACAGGAGTTGACTTTGCAGTTTGCGGCCCAAAACATAAACACGACACCACCAAGTTGGAGGAGAAAAGTGTTGAAATTACCACTTGATAGACCGTATAATATGGATTGAATTGTGCCCCGCAAAATATTGTCAACCATGATTCTCAGTGGCTTGGCAGTTATGAAATGATATAATTTGGCTGTTTTGCAATGATGTAATAATCCTGTTATTAGATCTGATGCAATTAGCCAATCAGTTATAAAGGAATTAGGTTAGGACACAGCATCCTTACTCAGGTCTCAGTTCTAATTTGACATATAGGTTAGTTTCTTTATATTGGGGCCTGCATTATCTTTTATCCTGCAACAGATCAAAGGAGAGAGATGTAAACAGATAAAGAGGGACATGAGTACCATCCAGAAAGAAGAGCTTGGAGTGGAGCACAACCTCTCAACTCCGGGTCACTCCACGGAGAACCTTCTAGACTCAAAAGATTGATGCCAAGCCACGTGGAGGTGTCCGATGAAGGAGGGGCCCACAGATATTAAAGGAGCCAAAGAGTCTCCAGCAGAGCCAACAGAGAAACAGCCTTCTCCTAGAGTGCGCACCCTGGATTTGGACTTCTAGCATCCCACTCTGTGAGAGAATAAAGGTATGTTTGTCACGGCTACCTAGTCGTCCAATGTGTTATACCAGCACTGGATCACTACGGCAACCTGCAACAGCGCTGACTAGAGAAAGACCGAAGACCATACGACAAAATCAGATGAAGCTATAATGAATAACAGTGTGCAATAGATGTTCAACGTTGTCGAATGCTGCCCCCTTGTGGAATAGAGTCTAAACTTAACGAATCATTATGCTAGCACAGAATTTTAAGATTATAAAAGCACTTTACAGTCTAATTCATCATGATCGCTTTTGTGTTAGCCAGCGTGCATTTCCATTAAATTTAGACATCATTATAAGTAGAATTATGGAAGTAGAAGCCAAGAGAAAGGGGCAGGAGGAAAGGGAGTCAGTCACTCAACACGAAAACAAAAGGGCTGCTGGTCAACCAATAGGTTCTTGCACCCACTCAATACCTGCAAATGAAGAAGCAGAATCAGAGATTTCAAGTAATCTGTCCAAAGCCTCAAACAGAGAATGAGGGACAGATAGCAAAGACTAAATGAGTTTTCCTGAGTTCATTCAAACCTGAACTTATACTTTGTGAAAAAAGTATCATAATACAGTGACACTTCAGTTGTCGAACGGCTCCAAGAACTACTCCAACAGCAAAATCCTAAACAATCTGCTCGGCGTTCATAACTTTGGTCGATAGTCAAACCAAACATCCAACTTGAAGAACCCTGTACAGGCCGAGAGTGAGTCCTGCCAAGGACACAAAGGAGTTTGCTTCAGTCTAAGCACCACTCTTGTTCAGTGTCTGTGTAAGTGTGTTAAAACATTTGTCATTGTGCTTGTCTTGGAGCTTTGAGTAAAATATCGTGCCCATGGCTCCAAAGAAAGTTAGTGAAAACTGTCGAACCACAATAGAATTAAAGAAATAAATCACTGCAAAATTTTAATCAGGCTGATTTGGCCACTGAATACCACATGATTAGGTGGGCATTACCAATATTAAAATGTGAAAAAAAGTGATGAGCGTGGCTAATATTGTGAAAGGTGTGACATCATTCACCACAAAACAACCTAGGCCATCAGAGGTTGAAAAGTTGGTTACTTTGAGTAAGTCAGGAGCAATTTGATGGCGACAGCATATCCAAGAGAGTGATATGGGAGACGGCTAAAAGCCATCTGATTTAAAGTTACAAAAATGAATTTGTAAGTGCAATATTTGGGCCTCAGAACCAATTATTTGGTCTTCCATTATTTCTTATGGAAAAAATATGCTCAGTACTCTAACTTTTTGGTGTTTGAACACAAATTTGGAAGGGGCTGAGTTTGACAAACGATATACCATGGTGTATGATACATAAAACACACACGTTAAACTGAAATTATTAAATATGTCCTAAAAAAACAGAAGAGATAGTAAGTCATTAAGTGTGACAGACTGGAATCAAGCCCTTAGGAATTGTTTTGACCAACCAGATATTAGCAAACATCACACATGAGAGAACTGAAAAGTGGTATGCAATGAGACTTGCTCTTTCCACCCTAGGAATCCAGTAATATACACACAAGCACAAGGGAGCCTGCTAGACGATAAGAAATCACATGAAACAGAGATGGTTGACCAGCCAAGTGTAGTCAGTTGGGCAGCTGAGCCCGACCCCAAGAGTCAAATTGCCAGAATCCTAAAATACAGTAAATACATCTTGTGGTGATTTATTCTGATAGATTAAACCCAATTCCTTTAAAGCACAAATACTTTCCTTAATATCATACATGACTTTTCCGCACTGCTGCCGTCTTGATCACTTTTTCTGACTACTCTTTTCAACTGAGTGGAGAGCACACATTAGATCATCCAACACCCCACCCACCCACCCACATTTCTACTTGGAACCTCCAGTGGCTAGTAAGTTTGGAATAATTTGTTTGCTATAGTAATAAAGCCAAAAATAACATTCTCCTCTTTATGACAATTTTTCCTTCTCTCTTTTAACACTCAACAAATAAGTAGCACACCTATCAGGTATCCGACTATCTGATACTTTGCATTTATGACAACAGTAAAAAATGCAGACTACTTTGCACACTAACAACATACACCTGGCAGTAATGGAAAGCAAGATGTGAAGTAAGCCTACCAGTGACTGTACCGGTTAAGGCTATTTGTCAATTTGGGTAGCCCACAATTCTCAGTGGTGTGGGAGTTATGTAATCATCCCCCATTTTTGCAAGTCATAATGATAACAGTATTTGGAATTTAACCAGGGCAGTAACTGAGGCATGTTGGAGATCAGTAAAACATGCTCTCAAGTAAACAAAATAACCCCCATAACTCTCAAAACATGTAATACCTGCAGTAATGTAGAAAAGCAGCTTTCAGCAGCTTCGTTTTATCTTCCTGAGCTATGATTTCGTTTTTTAAAGTGGTCTCAAAAACCATATTCTGTAAAACAATACATTAGAGTTTAAGTAAAGGTATCACAATATTCTTAAGTATTGTACTAAGAATTAGACATAACCTAAGTTAAGAACACACATATAGACTGTTAAACAACATTGTCTATATTTATGGTTTTATATATATTCATTGGAATATAATAAATAGCACCGAATGGTCAGCCTATGAAAGGTAGACATAATTCAGGAACTATATTGAGAGTAAAATTATTTGGAGATTTCAGCATAACCAGTAAAATCTTTTGTTCTCATACAACTAATTATAGTATGTATCACTGAGCAAAATGGCTGATTACTAATTCTAAATTAAGCAAAGAATAAGAAAAATTTAAAGGAAATGGAACACAAAAATATCTTCAGAACATGTCATAATGGTACAATAATCTGTGATGTACATAAATCAAAATATCTTTTCTCTTGAAACTGTACCAAATTACTAACCATGGATTATAGAATTAGTTTATATAATTCATAGAGCATATAAATGCAAATTATCTTGAGCAGTACTATTTTGAGTACCTTATTAATATTTAATAAAAAGCTTATGAATGTTTCTGTTTGGGGTGATATAAAATTTTTTTAAATGAACAGTTGTGATAGCACAAAGTGGTGAATGTGATGTCACTGAATTATAAGATAGCTACAATGGTAAATGTGTTCTTACATATATTTTATCACGAAATAAGAGTTAAAAAAATTTTATGGATGGGATATTTAAAGTCTCAATTATTCCACTATTCCCCTCTGAGTTAGTTAATTGTGCCAGCCTGGCCGATAATCACATGTGGGGCTAACTGAAAGGCGGAGGGATAAATGGGTGGTGAGCCTCGCCTTTCTAGTTCTCGGGTCTCTTGTTTTGTGATGGTTGCACCGGGTGCAGCTGCCTTAGCAGTTCCCTGCTTCAGCTTGCAAGATTGACTTCCTACAAGACATCCCCAAGGAGAAGCTACATGGACCTATCCCAATGCAGCCCTGGGTGCTGGAGCAGCCGTGTGGAGACCCCTGCCAGTGCTGAGATGCTTGTTCGTTCACTGACTCAGCTTTCCTCCTGCAGTCGGCATCACTGCCTCTGTTTTGTGAGGTGGAGGGCTTTGTGGACTGGTGTTGGGTTAACAGGTTAATGTTGGACTTGTCGGCTTGGGCAGCATTGGGTTGAGATGTTTTCGTGATGCACACTTTCTTTACATAAAACTCTCTTATACATGAGTTGCTGTAGCTTTCTTTCTCCAAAGTACCCAGACTAATATACCCTCAAATCATCCCAAAACAATATGAAACAGAAACACAGCCTCTAATAACCTAAATATAATACATGACAATGGAAACCAGGAGTGGTAGATGCCAGAGAAGACAAATCTGAAATGTGGAGCAAGGACAAGTGCTGCTGAGTTGGCAGTTGACAGAAAAGGAAGTTTCAGGTGACAGCTGTGCAGTGGTAACGTTTACTGGGAGATCTGATTATAGGGAAAGGATCCTGTGAGGCATTTCACAGAGCTGTGAAAGACTGTGGGAAGAGCAAGAAGAAAAAGGAACTAATGGTAAAATGAGTCAACTAACTCCAAGAAAAACAAAGTTGCACAATAAAGAAAACATAATCAGTACATTTTTTGGCTTGGCAAACCATAAGCAAGTATTACATTAAAAATGAACATACAAAAAAGAGTTTCTGTTGGGATGATAAAGCAGAAGGAGGAATATAAGTTACAAAAACATCTTTATCTTCCAGAATAGGAAATCAACCTCTGAAATGGGTGAGTTAAGAGACAGATATGTATGCATATTACTCAGAAATATCAAGGAAAAAATGCCAAAGAAACCGCTGAGAGGTTTTACAGTAGCTGCTTCTGGAGGAACAGGACAAAGACATGAAGGGAGAGAAAAGATCTACTATTTTTATCATAAGTGTTTAAAAATGGATTGCCTTTTAGAAATGTTTGTGTGAAATGTTATGACACAAATAAAATTTTTAAATCTTATAGAACCATTTTACCTCATTGCTTGGTCTAGTAATTGAGGATGTTAGGGAATCTTCAATATCTTCTGCTAATATGGACACGTTTTCCCTCAACATAATAGACATCAATCCATTGCTCCTAGTAAAAATAATGGGAACTCCACCACAGGACCCAGCTCCTAAAATACTATCTCCTTTAAAATAAGAAAAAGACGTAAGTAGATATTTCCAAAGAGCAGGTCATCTTGAATATATTTATTTTAAGAACATTTTCTTTCCTTCATAATAATATTCCTCTCTAATCTCAGCTTTCTAATCCCCAAATTAAAAGTCCAGAATATGTTCTTCATGGCATGGATGAACTTGGAAGACATTAAACTACGTACAGCTAACCAAGCACAAAGGGACAAATCTTGTATGATACCATTATTTTTGTTTTTTAATCAAGAACAGGTTTCCACATTGAAAGAAAGATGTTGGTGGTTACCAGGGAGGGGAGAAGCCGCCAGGAAGGGGAAGGAACAGACTAGAGGGTAGGCAAGTGAAGGGGAAGAGGAAGTACTACCAGAGGAAGAGCGGGAAGGGAAGAAGGGGCGGGGAGGGAGCAGGCAAGCCACTGAGGGCTCCGTAAGTTTAAGTTGTTGAGCGCAAAACCAGTGATCTGATTACATAAACTCCCACCTAATCCACAACGAAATTTTTTGGGGGTGGAAGAACCTGTTGCTATTTGAAGAAGCAGGTTTTATGTGTCCCTCAGTTTGAAAAACAACAAAAAGTAGCCTTGTAATAGATCAGTGAGTCCTCAGTAAAGACAATAAATCTAAAAACTACATTAGAGCCCAAAATAAAAATTATCTAGTTTCCAAAATTCAAAATGAGAGCTTTTCAAGCTCATGGAGCCTTCTTGCTCTCTGTGATTTTACTTTATTAGTTCAGCCAATGAAACATATATAAGCTTAATCTTAATATTTCACACCTACACAGTCAAGGACTGGAAACCTGTTGCCTCATCTGTGTTTTGGCCTCTCACTCCTGACCAGTCCCACTGAGCCCAACTCCTGTCTGTGCCCAGTCCAGTTCCCCTGCGTGATGAGCCCAGACTTGGGATTTTTCTTTTCCAGGTGTTCGAACTAATGATGCTTAAAGAACATCACCTCAGAATAAATCACTCTTATTAATTCAGATTTAGTGATTACTTAATGTCAGCTCTTTCCTTCTTGACCTCTTCTCCCGGGGAAAATAGTACTATTATTTGGTCCTAAACGCAACAGTGTTGGTAATTCTACCACCTTTTCGGTTTCTTAGTAGGGTTGTGACCTCACTTACTGAAGGTGTAGTACAGAATGTCGCAGAAACATGTGGAGGTATCAATCTCAGCAGAAGTAACACATAAGGAAAAATAATTAAAGCTACTAAGATTAACCAATGAGTTCACTAACCATGCTCTCTAGAATGGCTACTTTACCTTGTGAACCAAAACTAATTCTCTCCCGAGGAAGAGAAAACCTGCCATTTCCCGTAGAGGACACATAGATCTCATTCTCAGTATACAGATAGGCCGTCTGGTTTGAAAAGTTTGGGACCACTAGTCGACAGTTTATCAGGTCTTCAGACTGAAAATGAAATGTAAAATTGTTACTTATCGAGAACTGAAGCCAAAAGACTTGTTTGTATTATTTTCTAATTCACGTTTCTATAAATTATCTCATAAAAATTATAATTTACTGATGCTCCTTTACAAAATAATGACAGTAAGTTTATGAACATCCATAAAGGAAATCACTTGTTGGGTTGCAAATAATTGCAAACTTCAAAATACTTTCATAGGGTTAATTATAACTAGGTGTCTAAAATTAATGAACAAGAAAACATTAATTAATTAATTCTAAACTGGTAAGTACCATCCCTGTAAAGCATTTGATTTTTACTATACTGTCGACATTGCAAGCATAAGAAATTAAGTTAATCTGTCCAAGTTAAACTCAAGAGAAGCAAAAATAAAGACTTGATTAAAATAGCAAATGCCAAAATGATAGTTAGTAAAGAAATAATGTTATAAACGGAACATTAAAACTCTTATTACAATCAATATATACAACTCTTATTACAACCCATAAATACATGAATTGTGCAAAGCACATTTGTATATTCATTGCTCTCATCATCCTCAAAACATATGCTCTCCACCCAAGCCCCTGGCATATTGTTTTGTTTTTAAACTCTCAAATTGTTATCCTGCGGCACTCTCTGAAAAAAATATGATTATTATTATTTTTTTAAACACTGAGCTTGTTTTTCTTTCATGATAGGAAGCATGATAATGGTTATTTCTGTTTGAAATAAAAGAACATATTTTTTAAAGATTGGACAGGTTTAGTTAGGCATGTCATAAATAGGATTTAAAAAATTAGATCCTATATAAGATTAAATGAATTTACAGTTACTAAGGTTTTCCCCATCAACATCACAACCACTCGGTTGCTAAATATATTGAAATTGCTTTGAATAAAAACTTTTCATGAATTTTAAAAAAGAGAGAGAGAGAGAGAACTCAAAAAAAAAATAGAGGACTCGAAACTAAATCCAAATTCCTACCAGGTTTCTTCCTTCCTTTCATCCTGCAGTCCACCATCACTCTTACCCTTCTAATCGCTAACACAGAAACACTAACAGGTCCTCAGTGACCGATGAGAAGAAACAAATGGCTTGCTGTTGGTGGATTCCGCTCTCATTTCTTTCTCTTTAGCTAAGTTTGAACCAATGAAAGATTCTGAGATGGCAAAGAAAATGCAACAATATCTAAAACCAAACTTCAAAAATAAATATGTATTTCTAAACCATGAAGATGAATCTTTCAGGGAATTTGACCTTGCCCAAGTTAGAAGAGAATTCCACGTGTTATTGCCTCTTTGAAGTTTAACAGTTGGATGTGTGTTTTACCTGGAACGGTGGATTGTACTGAGTAACTTCTACCGATATAGCACCTGACATTTGGTAGCCATCATCTCCCACAGTGACCAGAGAGTAATATATGAGACACGGTGAGTCTGATGGGTGCCATGCTGCTGCCAAGATCAGGAGGCCGTCACTAGTCAATCAAAAAGAAGAACTTTGTATCTTTGGAAAACAATTTGGAAATTTCTGACAAAGTTAAACATATACTTACCACATACTTTAAACTCTCTCACTCCTAGAGAAATAAAAAACCTATTCCAAGAGAAATAAAAACCTATGCTCATACAAAAACCTGCGTGCAAATGCTTATAGTGGCTTTATTCATAACTGCCCAAACCTACAAGCAGTCCAGTGTCTCCAACCGCGGGAGAAACAATGGAGTTACTGAGCAGAGGTCACCAGGAAGACACTGCTGGGTAAATCCCAAGTGAATTATGCTACGTCAAAGATACCAAATTCAGAAGGCTTTATACGACAGGATTCCATTTTGAAACAGGCAAAATGTTAGGGACAGGAAGCAGATCAGTGGTCTCCAAAAGTTGGGGAGGGAGGGGTTTATTATAAAGAGACACAAGGGAATTTTCGGGGGTGAAGGAACTGTTTTGTATCTTAACTGTGACGGTGATTAAATAACTACATATAGTTGTCAAAGTTCAGAAAATTATGCACTAAAGAGAGTGAAATTCACATATATAAACTGTAGCTTAATTTACTTGATCTAAAAAAAACAAACCACCAAGAAATTGTCTAATGCTCTATTGTTGTACCTAAAGTTCTACTAGGATACAGGCTTTCTCATTAATTTATTTATATAATCTATGCAATGACAGAAGTGAACAATTGCAATAAAAACTATTTTTGCTTGCTGAAATAGTTACTATGGAGCCCCTTTTACAGAAGAGGGCTTAAATACTGTATGCGAACAGTATTGTAAAAAGCCAAGGAACCTTTCATATTTGCTTATGCCATGTTATGATCACATACTTTTAAGTAAGGAGAAATAGTATCTTCAAAGTTAATGTCTAGTCAAGAGTTCAGGTAATGAAGAGTTAAACTATACTGTTCATCAGTGTTTTGTGTAAAAATATTTTAATATTCGGGTTGAGGGGGGCGTAAAGAAGGACAGTTTGTTGTAGGAAAGCAATTCTGTACATCAGTTTAAGCTTACTTGTATTGTCTGCCGATTATATTTGTGTTTACAATCTTAAAATATACGTTAGCAAAATGGGTGGATTTTCAAATAAAACAACTTCTACCAAAAAATAAATAAATAAAGCTTCTACCAATAAAAATAAACATTTTTTGATGGTTACCAGGAGTGGGAAGAGAGGAAGTCACATGAGAGAGTAGACAGTATTAACTTAAGTGAAGTATAAAGGCAATAAACAATTTGAGGGAAGCTGGCAAAATATGACAGAGGCAAGGCAAAATACTGGGAGATTTGGCAAGAATTAAATGCAACAGAGGTAAATACTGCTTTATACAACCCTGCAACAGAGGTAATCTAGGAGTAAAAGCTTGGATAGATAAGCGGGCTGAACAAGTAGGGGAGGCAATCAATGCTCATGGAACCAAGGGTCAAGAGATCAAAAGAAGTGCTGCACCTGGGTATATCTGCCACACAAGACCTACAGAGTAATGGAAAGCAAGGATGTTACTTTGAGGACTAAGGTGCACTTGACCCAAGCCATGGTGTTTTCAGTTGCTTCATATATGCATGTGGAAGTTGGACATTGAATAAATAGGACCCAAGATAAGTAAGACCCAAGAAGAATCGGTGCATCTGAATTGTGGTGCTGCAGAAGAATATCGCAAGTACCATCAACTGCCAAACATAGAAATCTGTTTTGGAAGAAGTATGGCTACAGTTTCTTTAGAGGCAAGGATGGCGAGACTTCATCTGTGTGGAAAGAACAGTCCCTCAAGAAGGGCACTGGACATAAAGTGGAGGACAGCGGACAAGAGGCCCTCAGTAAAGTGGACGGACGCAGGGGCTGCCACAATGGGGTCCAGCACAGGCACAATTGTGAGGATGGCGCAGGAGCGGGCACTGTGGAGCGCTGTGGTGCACAGGCCCGCTATGAATCAGAATTGACTCGGTGGCCTAATGACAACAACCCGGGGCAGAAAGAAGCGGGAAGGGGAGTATACATGTTGTTGGAGTGCTGATGCTTGGTTTACAGAGATGGAAAACTTGCACTGCTCTGTTATAGTTGTACAGGTGATTATTTTAAGTGCTCTCAATAAATTGACATAAAAGGCTGAACTGACTTAACCTGTGGGATAGATTATTTATAACAACAAAACCGAGTAGCTGCTGAGGCTGATTATATAACTAAACATCTACTTGCTAAACAGCTCTTGGGATGCGATTCCATGGTTTGGAAATTCAGGGTCACGGTATCCTAAGACATTCTCGTTAACTGGTCTGATAACATGTTCAGTGCTCCTGTGTGATTCCTAGTTCATTGTGGAGTGCCCAGGTCTTTAACGTTTTTTTAAGAGGCCATCACCCCTTTCGCCGGCAGCAACAGAGGAAGAAGACTCAGCATGAGGAGGAAATGGGGTATGTGGCTATTCGCCTCAATGAGCAGCTGCCTCCTTTGCCATGGGATCAGAAGAACTGGGGAGTGGCCAGCAGCCATTGCTGAACATATTGACCAAAGAGTCTATGGAAAATCCTTATCAAAAGAAAGAAAACGCAGAGCAGAATTTCAAATTCTCATGGACTTCAGATTTGCTGGAGTTAAGGGGGATGGATGATCTACTACCCTGACAAAATCTTTAAGCTGGAAACCAAAAATATCCCCGAAAGCTATTTTAAAACCAAACAACAGTTCAGCTTAACTAATACAAAGGTTTGCCTTGAACAATATGCTATTTTAAGTGCTATTTATATGGAATTAAATTGACAATGGCAAGACAAAAAATTAGATCGGGCCCATTGAGCCCAGTGAGTTTATGTTAATGACTAAGGAACAACTCAGAACAGGAGGGCAAGAACTGTTTCATAATTCACATAATATAACAAATACACTATATTGTACAAACTATTAAATTTGTGTTCTTCTTTTAAATGTAGATCCTCCACAATATAAAAATTTAAATAAAATACAGGAAAAAGTAGCTTCATCAGACTAACCTAAGACTTTAAATACCACTGAGGGAGAGCGTGTTTATAGAGCAAACCATAATGCAGTTCCAACATGTACTCCCAAGACACCATCTTCACTTCTTTCATTCAGTGCAGTCAAAAAAGTCAGCTTCCTAAAAGCTTCCTTAGCAACTGAAAAGGTGTTGGGAGAGAAGAAAGGCTACAGCACTCACACACTCAGTGCTGTGGGGTCAATGCCAACTCGCAGCGACTCCGCAGGACAGGGTAGAACTGCCCCTGTGACTCTGAGAGACTGTAACCCTTTTGTTCAGTTTGAGCATCCATTTATTTATTTACTTTATATTAATAATTTTCTGGGGGAGCTCTTACAAATCTTATGACAATCCATCAATCAATTATATTAAGCACACTTGTACCTATATTGCCATCAACATTTCCAAAACATTTTCTTTCTACCAGAGCACTTGGTATCAGCTCCTCTTTTTGCCCCTCCCTCCCCCAAGACTCTAACTCTGTACAGGAATAGAGAGGCCCCTCCTTCTCCTGCAGAGCCACTGGTGGGTTTCCGCTGCTGGCCTTGCACTTAGCAGCCAGACTCAAAATGACAGGACCTTACAAGTCTCTTAACAGTGAAGGGCAAGAAATTCTAGCTGTGAGAGCAGAAAAGATACTCCTCTAACTAGAACAGGCAGAAAGTGAAGGATATATACTGTAAGGCTGAAAATGGCCAGTTTCTAAAATGCACTAGCATCACAAGATAAAAATTAGCGAGGTCTTTTAGCAAAGCTTAATAGAGGACATTAGAAGATCAACACAAGAGAGAATAAGACTGTCCATCATTTTCAAACACGCTCATTCAATCTTACTGAAATATAATACATGTACAATACCAATTCAATGGTTTCAACATATTACAGAGTTGTGAAACATGCATTTATTTTTCTAAGCTATTACTTTTATTCTTTATGATAAATTAACTGCTTACCAGTTCTGCTTCAGATCCAAATATCGAATGTTGACACCTTCTTTAATAGCTTCATAGTTACTTTCAGATCCCTATATGAAAATATCAAATTTAAGCAACTTGAATGTAGGAATAATTTGTCACTTTTGTAAGCCCAGCACTAGTCATGCATAGTAACAGAAACATTTGTTGAGAATGGAGAAATTTTTTAAATTATTAAATAAAGCATTGACTTCCAATACACTGAATATGCATTTCTGCATAACAAATGACAATACTTTTGTTCATTACACGAAAAAGTGTTCAAATAGATAAAGCAACTGAAAGAACCAGCATTATCATACAAGCATTAACCTGAAATACAGAGATGAATATATCCATTTCTTACCCAAATAGCATCAGCAATGTTTTCTTTCAGGGCTCTATTTAAATCCCAACTATGTGCTTGTTTTTCTGAAGAGTCATCTAACTCCCATTTACTGATGCTTGAACTTGTAAGACTATAGAAGCTTGATCGCTCTCTATCCCAAAAGACACTTGAAAGCTGTATGGAGAGGAGGAAAAACATCACATTTATAGACTATTACGTTCTGATACTACTAGACTAATTTTCTGAGTTCATATTGCATGTTTTGTGACTATTTGATTAGTAATCCTAGCAGATCAGACATGATGGTAAACAGGAGTCCTTAGCAGAGAGTAGAGATTGGGTAGACTTAGTTGCCATCAACCCCCTTCTGGAACTCCCGGTGAAACTGGAAGTGTATATGAAGGGACTTCAAGAACTCAAGTGAACTGGATTTGGATAATGGACTTTTTCGATAAACTTTTTGAAGCTCCCTTAGATATGCAGGCTGAGTCGCCTACACAGATAGCTAGAATCATAGAACTAGAGAACATGATTCAGTCTAGAGGATGAAATTCCTAGGAAATATTTTAGAATATTATGAAATAGTTTAATTCCATAAAAAAGGTATTTATATGTAAATCTGTCTGTAAAACCGTATCTAATTCATAACAGAAAGTTAAAACTAAAAAAACCCTCCGATGTAAACTCTGAAAGCTGCCAGGTGAAAGGAGGGCGGATTAGTATGGACTCATTTAATCAGCACAGTACAAGGGTTCCGTGGCAAGATCACAAGTTCTCTTCAGGCACAGCACTGCTCCCAGGAGAGGCCATAGAGACATCACAGGAAACGTTCAACTTACTGATTTCACTAAGACTCCGATCTACAAAGTAGTCATTGTACACACTTACTGTGAGATCACTACTAGTAGACAAAATTCCCAAGAGAGAAGACACTCTCCGACCAATGCTGGAAAGCATGCCTTGGCCTTGAGGGAGGAGATGCTGGTGAATCTTTCCTAAACTTTCAGGTATCAATCGAATTAGTTGGCTTCCTGATGAGGACAAAATAAAGCTTCCTCCCTGTGAGCAAATATTACGAAATCAGGTTAGTTCAACACGACACTAAAAATGTTTTTTGTTAATTAACCATGAAAGTTTTCGCATACAGAAAAGCAGTCTGCATATTAACACAAATATAAGAGAATAAAAGATGAGAGGATATTTTATTTAAAAATGTACTCTAGAATCAATTCACTTAGTATTAATTCTGTATTTTAAAAAAACTTCAATACCAGTAAAAAAATTTTTTTAATTATGATTTTTAAATTATAGGTTCACTATATTGCAGTTTAATAAATTAAGCATTAGTTTTCATATTTCTTTGGTAAGCTTACTGAATACAAATCAGCGAACTATTCTATATAGTGTCTAAGGATTTTTACACCACTCTCCTAAAATACTTCTGATAGAAACTTAGACCAGGGACTTCTATGTGAGATTGATATCTTAGAGTCCTAGAAGAAGGACCTCCCTCTGGCCCACAGTTCAAATCCCAGGTCCTTACAGTTTTCTTTCTAATTCCTCCCCAGCTTGGACGGTCTGTTCAAAACCCTACATTTTTCGTCATTTAAATCCTGTTTACACACCAAATCCCAGCTTACCTGCACTGCTGTTAGGAAACTGCAAGTCTTGTCACCTCCCAAATCCACAAATGTCTCTGTGTAGGTGTCCTCACGAGCAAGGTTTGGCCAATAGCGGATCGATCCTTCTCTGGTGGCAACCATTACAGCAACAGCCTTGAAATAAACACAACACAATTATGTTCCTTAACAAATGAATGATTCAAAAACATTAAGTCTGAATTACTGATAAAGATACTGGAGTAAAATAAAAGACGACTATACACGTGGACTTCTCCAGATGAAATACACAGGGATCAAATTAATTATGTCTGTGGGAAGAGACAATTGAGCAGCTAAATATCAACAGCCAAAACAAGGCTAGGGGCTGACTGTGGAATAGACCACCAATTGCTCATATGTAAGTTCAGTTCAAAGTTGGAGAAAATTAAACAAGTCAACAAGATTCAAACGACAACCTTGAGTATATCCCACATAAATTTCAAGAACATCTCAAGAACAGATCTGAATCACTGAACACTATGACAAAACACTTGACGAGCTGTAGGATGACATCAAGAACAAAAGGCCAGTTTTGTTCTTGTTAGAGCCCATTGTTGGAGCCATCAAGAAAACACAAGGTCATTATAAAGACAGGAAATGAAGAGAAGATCAAGGTGGTTGTCAAAAGAGACTCTGAAACTTGCTCTCGATTATACTGTAGCTAAAACAAATGGGAAAAGGATGAAGTAAAAAACCTGACCAGGAAATTTTAAACCTGTAATATGCAGGCTTACTTGTGTTTTCTTGAGGAAGCTCATGAAAACAAAGTATTAAAAGGAAGTGTGCCAAGATCAGGAATTAGAAAACTAAAGAGGAACACACTCAGAATAGTTTAAGCTGAAAGAACTGTAGAAAAAAATTCAAATCTTGGGCTGCAATATTGAAAGATTCTATGGAGAAAAGATTGAATGATATAGAAAGCATGAAACGAAGATAAAATACATTACACAGTGACTGTAGCAAAAAGTAATGACCAACATTCAGTCATTTCAAGAAGTAGAATATCAAGAATCAATGGTAACTAAAGGAAAAAGTCCAAGCTGCATTGAAAGTATTATGAAAAAAATAAGGCTCCAAGAATGGATGGAACACCAATTAAAATGTTTCGGCAAGCTGATGAAGTACAAAAAGCACTCACTAGTCTTTGCCTAGAAATCTAGAAGACCAACCAACTGACTGGAAGAGAAAGGTGGTGACCCAACACGATGCAGAGATTATTGAAGAATACCATTAAAACCATGAATAAAGCTTTGTTGAAGATCATTCAAGGATGGCTACAGAAGTACATTGTCAGTGAGCTGCCAGAAATCCAAGCCAGATTCAGAAGACCAATGTGAGGTGGGTATTGGTTCACAGCAGAGAATACCAGAGATGTTTACTTGTGTTTTATTGATTATCCTAAGGCATTTGACTGTGTGGAGCACAACAAACTATAAACCACCCTAAAAAGCGTGGGGATCCACAGCATTTCATTGTGCTCATGCAGAACCTGTACGTGGATCAGGAGGCTGTCATTGGATCAGAACAAGCGAATGTTGACTGGGTTAAAATCAGTGGGGGGAAAGGCAGCATTTACCATATTTATTCAATCTGTATGCTGAACAGATAATCTGAGAAGTTGAACTATATGAAGAACAAAGCATCAAGACTAGAGGAAGGCTTATTAACAACCTGCGATATGCAGACGACACAACTTTGCTTGCTGAAAGTGGGATTTGAAATGCTTGCTAATGAATATCTAGGACTGCAGCCTTCAGTATGGATTGTAACTCAATGTAAAGAAAACCAAACTCTTTACAACAGAATCAAGAGTTAACACTGTGATAAGTAGAAAAGATAGAAGTTGCCAAGGATTTCATCTTGTGTGGATCCACAATTAATGCTCAGGGAAACAGCAGTCAAGAAATGAGACAACATATTGCATTGGATAAATCTACTGCACAAGACCTCTTTAACTTCCCTGGCGGTCTAATTACGTCAGTAATTTTGCTAAGGGACTTCTCTGCAGTATGATCCCAAGTGTGGCTCAGGGTTACCACTTCTGGGAGTTAACATTTACCCCGAGCCACACTCGTGATTACCCCGCCAAGCAGGTTAAAGTGCTGAAGAACAATGCTGTCACTGTGAGGACTACGGTGAGCCTGAATCAAGCCACGGTATGTGCAATCACCTCGCATGCATGTGACACTTGGACAATGGACAAGGAAGACCAAAGGAGAATCTATGCATTTGAATTATAATGTTGGCAAAGGCTATTGAAAGTATCATAGGCTTCCAAAAGTAAACACCCAAATCTGTCTTGCAAAAAGTAGAAGCAAGGATGGTTAGGCTTCGTCTCATGTACCTTGGACGTGTTATCACAAGACACCAGTCTCCAGAGAAGAACAACGTGCTTGGTAAAGTGGGAGGCAGTGATAAAGAAGCCACTCAACAAGATGGATTAACCCAGTGACTGCAACAATGGGCTCGCACATAAGAACAACTGTGAGGATGGCACAGGACCGACCAGGCAGTGTTCCATTCTGTTGGGTAAAAGGTTGCGATGAGTCAAATCCAATTAGACAGCACCTAACAACAGCAAGGGAAACAACAGCAGCAACAATAGGTGGTGTCTTATTTATGAAATTTTATTTCCTTACTGTTTGATGATATTGAACATCTCTCCATTTGCTGAATTTCTATTGTCTGGAGCAGTGTTAATTCAAATTCTACCCCCTTTTTAAAAACGGAAGTTTTTGTTTTCTTACTGTTACCTCAACAGTTTTTAAGTTTATAGTTTTATATTTCATTTAGTTCTCAGATCCATTTTGAGTTACTCTTTGCATAAATTAGGAAGTTCAGGTGAAATTTAATTTTTAACCGATTGTTCCAATATCTAATATTGAAATGTTATGCTATAAAAATAAAAAAGAAATGTTATGCTGCTTTTGCACTTTTGTTCAAGATCAAATATATATCTGTGGGTTTATGTCTGTATTCTATTCTATCCATTGACCTATTTTTTTGTGTGCCAATACTACAGTGTCTTGAATTCTGTAGCTTTATAGTTATGTCTTGAAATTGGATCAAACTGGATTCCTTTAAGTTTAGAACTCCCTTAGTTTAAAAGTTTATTTCAACAGCATTCAAGTCACCTACCTGGATAGAATGTGCTTCTCCGGAGCTAGCAGAGTAAGAGAGAGCCACTAAGTCCGCACTCGAATGGAAATCACTAGTTGGCAGCTGAAGCTCTTTACACACAGACAACTGTCAAAGACATGCAAAGAGAAAACCTGTCACTCAAAAAATCTTTTTTCATCCCCTCCCCAAATATGTACCTGACTCCCCTATTTTCTTGTTCTTGCTCTGAACTATTTAATTCTGATTCATTGCTGGAAATACAATTCTACAAATACTCTTTCTTCTCACATCTCTTCTTGATCCAGTTTTCAGTAAGTTTAAAACAATGTATCTTAAAAGAGATCAAATAAGGAAACCTTACAGGTCAGACTGGATGTTCAATATTAACTGGTCCAATTTCTTCCCAAGTTAAAGTGCACTGGCTAAGAGAACAGCCCCAACTCCCTCTGGAACTTTTCCATTCTCGTGTTGCTTTGTTATCTTACGTTTAAAATTTGCATGACCTCAGATTAACTGCACTGTGTTTTCTAGAAAATATGTGAGACTCTCAGCCAAATATCAAGTTTCCTCTATTAACTCAGCATGCTCCCGTTGCCCTCCACCCCCACCCAGGACCTCACCCTCGCTTCTTGCGCCTAACCCCACAACTCCTTTCCAGGCAGTGGAAGCAGAGAAAGAAGACTGGGCGCACTTAGTGCGTGAGACCCTGAGTTCCAAAGGAACAGTGAACCAGTAAGTAATGCGCGACGCAAGAAAGTACATCTAGGCTGCAACAAACAGAAAAAGTCACCAGACACATAAAATAATTCCTCTGCTGGAAAATAACTGGAAATTAAAACAGTAATTCCTAGTTGTTTAATTTAATTAAGCATCATTCACTAGCTTCAGGAAACATGGTACTGTCTTCTTAATAAATTAAGTTTATTAACTTATTTGGATAGCATTTCAGCTTATATTTCACGCAGACCAATTAGCATGACATTAACTACAAATCCCAATGTTTGTAATTTATTAACTATGAATGGTGTGGATCTTGTTTAAAAATTACTAAAGGTAAGCAATTTTCCTCTGTACACACAGGTGTGTGTGCATGTTCAGTATTTCATGTCACTCTGAAAATTCAAATATATAATGCACAAGTAGATTCAGATTACTACCCTCCAATAGCCCTAAAAAATTAGGATAAAATCAAGAGCCAACTGGTATCCCTCTCTTCTATCTCCGTATAGCTCTCTAAGGAGACATTACCTTCGTAAGAGGGGATGGACCAATCTTCCAAATAATGAGTTTCTCTTTGCAGACCAGAGAAGCCCAGCCACTTTCATCTATGTGAGCAGTCAGTTGATCATCAACTACATAAGAAGATTAAGTCCACAATTAATCTTAAAGCAAGCATATGAAAAACTGTCGCAATTTCCTTACACCAAAATCGTTATTCTCATATTTCACAAAAATAATGAACAAATACCACCCCCCAAAAAAATTATTTCACAAAAGAAATTCAAGAATTATCATCATTAAAAACAAAAGATCTCCCCTGACCCCTACGGTGGCCTGATGGTTATAATTGTGATATGGTCAGTCAGTAACAGAAATGTTGGCGGTTCAGACGGACAGCAGCTCTGAGGGAGAGAGACCTGGCCGCGGGTTCCTGCATAGCTTATACCCTAGGGAACCCGATGAGGAGCTCTAATCAATGAGACAAGCACCACCTTTTGAATTATATCTGAGGCAAAAAGTCTATCTTTATTATAAAGAATAACTTGATTCCTATAAGTAAACATGCAGTAACACATAACTCACTACACTACCAGGGCTCCTGGTCTAGAATTATTAAATCCCTAGAAACATTGACTTAGGCAAGTGCTCTGAACTTGGATCTTCCTGTTAACTAGGCCTTCATCCGCAATGTTGCCTTTCTGAACCTATTTCTCCAAACTTCTACTCTTCAGTCTCTGCTAACAGAATCTTCTAAATGTACACTACACTAATAGCATCATGAATCTGTGTGAACAGATGGTAGGATACATGTAGTCCGATGGAGACAGACCTTGATCTCACTACATTAACACAGTAGTGGAGGTACTGGTTTGCTTTTAAACTATAAACTCGTTTACTTTTAAAGTCAAATTGAATTTTGGACATGCTGGAGTTAAAGTATTAAAGTCATAATTTGATGTAGCTAAACTAATTCTGCTTCTCAAGTTTATACTTCTCAATGACAGTGAATCTCTTTCTCTCCATTTAAACATGCATACACTACAGATTCCATCAGTTCTGACTACCGAGGCTGACACAAGCTTCATGGAAACCTACTAGTAGAGAGAGGTAAAGGGAAAGATGAGACCTACCTTCAGACAACGTTAGGGCTTCCATAATTTTAACCGGGAGAGAAGAGCCAAAGGTCTTCACATCATAGTTCACAGCCTCAGTTACCGAGTGGTATAGGAACATTCGTGTAGGTGTGCCTCTAAGGAAAGGAAGCCACACTTCAATCATAATTTAAATTTCCATAATTCTAAGTTTCACGAACACAACTTACATTTAAAAAACCTTTGCTAACTAAGAAGGAATAAGAGGTATGACAATAGACCACTAACTTATGTAGACTTGTGCAATCAAATGTCTTTTTCACTTAAAAAAGTACTCTCAGGACTTAGGAAAACTGATATACACACACTCACACAGTTTTAGTGTGTGCACATATATGTATACACTAGCAACTGTATATACACTCTAGTAATTAGATACATGCCTCTAGTCATTTGAACTTCTTATAATTCCCTTCTGACTCACAGACCCCATGTACAACATAACAAAACATTGTCTAGCCATGCAACGTTCTCCCAATTGTTATGTTTGAACTCATTGTTGCAACCACTGGTCAATTCACCTCGGCCAGAAGCTTCCTTTGTTTCTGCCCCTCTACTTTCCCACCAGGAGTGGTGGCTTCTCCAAGGAAGAAGGTCTCTCCTGATAACAGTACAAAGCACATGAGACTAAGTCTCACTATCCCTGCTTCCCAGGAGCATTACCGCTGTATCCCCAAGACAGATTTGTTTGTGTTTTGCAAACAGTATGTCAGATTGAGGGTTTCAGTCATTTTTTAAAACAAAATAGGATATGAAATATCAAAGTTTATCATATGTTGTGATGAGAATTTTATAAACATTGGGTTAGATCATAGGTTCCCAAACTGACTCTTTTTAAGGGGGGAAAAAAAAAGACAATCGCACTTGGCGCCACCACAGCATCTAAAAAACATTTATATGAAAAATGCAGGCATCTGCCGTTGCAGTGGTCTAGATTGTTCCAGTGCTTCCCAGAGGGCAGTGTTGTCCACCGTGGGAAACAGTGGGCTGCCTTAAGGTCTTGTCCAGCTCTAGAATGCGAAGACTGTGTCCATTTTTACTTTTAGTGTTTTTACATGTAGGGTTTCTGAGGCTGTAAATCTCTGAAGGATAGATAGTCTAATCTTTCTCTTGTGGAGCGCTGGTGGATTTCAACTGTCGACTGTGTGGCTGGCAGTCTAATTGTATCTGATGGTACAACCAGAGCTCCCTATCTCTTATAATTTGGATTAGATGAAGATATGCCCACAAAGGGTAATCTATATGTGTAATCTACATGTAGAATGGTGTTGTATTTAAGTTTCATTGTGAATTGGGTGAAGGTTTAGAGAGCAAATCACTTTTACATTCCATGCTTTATATACATTATTGCATTTCATTCTCTGTAATCCCTTCAATGTAATCCCTGTTTCCAAACTCCATTCCTCCTCCTTTCCTAATTCTTCTGAACTTGTCCTTGGGTAAATGCTGACCCCTCAATGCCAAATGGTCAATTATTCTAGGGGTGGGCACACATCAAAAGTATTATTATTCTCCTTATGGGCCTATTGTTTGGCTGAAAAATATGCCATAAGGGGGAGTTCAGGTCCAGACCAGAAGGGTGACCTATCTTGGGGGTCCAAACAGTTTATGCTGAACCAGAAAACCTTGCCTCTGATCATTTCTATTTTTGATCTATATCTTTTTTCCACTCATCACTTGTAATGTGATTCCTTCAGAGTGGTTGGTATTGACAGGTGGACCCCATCGAGTTCTTCAGGTCTCAGGGTGATAGAGATATATATACATTCACGTGTGGTTCATCAGTTCATTCCATGTGCCTTCAATTTTTATCACCTTTTTCCTCGAGATGTGAGACTAATAGTTGCCCTAAGTTCGTGGGTTTTTAGACCTCAGTCACTACTCACCAAAATAGGATGTAGACTTTGTGAACTATGTTATGTCAATTGACCTTGGTGTCCCCTGAGCCCATGGTCCTGACACCCCAGACCCAGACTCATTCCTCCAAGGTGCCTGGCTATGTCTAAGAAGTTATCATAATTTTGGCACCTATATACACCACTGCAGGAGCCCTGGTGGCATGGTGGTTATACATTGGGATGCTAAACACAAGGGCAGCAGTTTAAAACCACCAGCCGCTCCCAGGGAGAAAGATGGGGCTTTCTACACCTGTAAAGAATTAATCTCAGAAACTCACTGGAGCAATTCTGTCCTGCAGGGTTGCTATGTGTTGACACTGACTCGATGGCAGTGAGTTTGGTTTTTTGCTTTTTTAGTTAGACTCCACTGCATCCATGAATACAGTTGCAACAAAGGTAAATACCCATGTACAAATATCCTGTCCTACTTGTCCTCCTATACCTGCTCAGTCCACATGGCCTTTATGCATCTACATGTAGATCAAAGTTGCTTCAGGATTGCGCATGTAGTATTGACCTGTTTGCCTTCACTCTGGCGCTCCTCGAGTGTTCTCCCTTGGCTCCATTCTTTACCAATCTCCCTTTGGGGTACTGCCCTCCTCCTTCACCTACGTTCTTGGAGTCTACTTGACTTGCTCTCCATTTGGGAGCGCTGCAACTACACTATTCCCGCTTTTGATTTTGTAATGCTCTTCCTACAAATTGATATCTTTTTATTGGTTCAGTCTAATAGGTTTGCTTTACTTTAGATACATGACACCTAGGCTGCTATCTGAATAGCTCTGTCACGTGTTAATCTGTTTGCTGTCTGCCACTGTTGGTTCTGTCTGAGGAGCTTCCTTTAGTACTTCTTGTTAGGTTGCCTGGTTGTTGAAAATTCCTTTCATTTCTGTTTACTGGGAAATGTCCAAATTTCAGCATTGTCTATGTGGGACAATTTTGCTGGGTATATGATTCTCTAGTTTTGGAAAGTGATTATATGTCGTGGTGATTTTCTTTTGGGAGTTTATCCTGTTTGGGGTTTACTCAGTTTCTTGATTGCAAACTTTCTCATCTTTCATGATGTTAGAGAAGTTTTCTTTCAACAGCGCATCAACAATTTTCTCTTTCTGTTCTGGAATTCAAGAAACATGTAAGTTATTTCTACTGAATGTGTCCCATATAACTCTTAGGCTTTTTCTACAAAAAAAATTTTTTTTCTCCCTGATTGTTCCTCTAGCAGGTTAGCATTAAGAGATTTGACTTCCAAGGGAACAACAAGTGATTCAAATTGGTGGTGAAGATGGTGTAGGAGGCCTGGTAGGGCGTGATCAAGGGTAATATAACCAAGAGGAATTACTGAAACCCAAATGAAGCCTGACCATGATAGTGGGACAAGAGGAAAGTCAAATGAAATAGAGGAAAGCGCTAGGAGGCAAAGGGCATTTATAGAGGTCTAAATAAAAGCATGTACATATGTAAATATATTTATGTATAAAGATGGGGAAATAGATCTATGTGCATATATGTATAGGTTTAGTATTAAGGTAGCAGATGGACATTGGGCCTCCACTCAAGTACTCCCTCAATGCAAGAATACTTTGTTCTATTAAATTGGCATT